AATTCATTAGGTACGACAGAACTAATTCAAATTTTGCACTCTAATTTTAGAGCATTTAGTCGGACCTATCTATGAAAAAAGACGAAAACCTAAAATAGTGGAAATATAAATATGCAATTGCTTTTCGCAACAGTGAGTTTCTATAACGGGCAGTGAAAACAAAACCAAAACCCATAAAAATGGTTCGAAAACTCTCCAACAGTGATACTCGTATATTGGTCACCTGCAGTCGAACAAATGGAGACCTATCGTTTATCTAAAAGTGATATAATTAATGTAATACCGGCCATACACACTACGAGAAATCGTTACGATCAGACTGTACAGTTCGAACGGTATAAGATATTATTTTTGTCTGTTACTAACACAGCACATGATATGAACTTTTAGTATCTGAAAACAACTTTTAGTACTTTAAGTTCGGGCAAATCTTACAAGGCACAGTTATCAGAATTATTGACAAAAAATTAAACTTTTTTTTAAAGTAAAGAAAAATATGTGTTACAGCTTAGCACATTGCTTTACGTACAATGTACGTACTCTCGTGTGTGTAAGTGAATGAATCTGACATGAATTTAGAAAATTATATAAATATAAATATTCAGTGTATCATATTTAGTAATGGTTTTTAATGTGTAAATTTACACACCTAATATATAGATACGTTTGTAGAGAAACTATTCAGGACTGATTTAAGACATAAATGAAGCCTGAGTGTACACTAGAACTCGAATAATAAGAGTAAAATCGACGGGAAAACTTTTCGATTTTCCGGCCGTGAAAAACAAAGTCGGTGGCTACACAGCCGAGGGGGTATTATTTAGCATCAAATAGGTCAGATATTTATGTCACCAACTTCAATACGAAAGGGAGTTTAATCTCCCTCGAAGATGTTATCTGCGTACATTAGTGACTGTATGCCAGATAAATATCTCATAAAATCCTGGAAATATCAATTGAAAGGATCTACCCTTCGATATCCAGTGACAGTTATTTGTCACAGTTCCAAAATCGAGATGGCTGTGATTACATCTTTACACCTGCGTTGAAATGAGGGTCCTAAAAGCCGACTATAGGTACTCACAACTGTGTATTTATGTATTCGGACTAGGTTAAAGTTAAAGGGAACCGGAATTGTTATTTATGATGATATAAGTGCGGTAAGTTGGTAATTACAAACGAGTAGACAATGAAAAAAAAATGAAAGTCAAATGACAAACTTTACAAGAAAACAGTATAATTTTTAAGTAATGAAGCGAAATTTTTCTAAAAAGGAAAAAGCGCGAATTTCCTAGTAGCGCCATGTGCGAGTGGTGAAGATTTACAGCGTTCGTCTCTTTTTCTTTTTAGTATTTAAGTGAGACAAAGGTATAGATTAGAAGCGCTTCCAACGAGGTTCGAATGAAATAAAAAATAAATGTAAAGAATACGCACGCCGCCATGTATGGGAACGCGCGGTAAAATGTTTTACCGCAAGCTCCGTCATGTGGCGTGTCGTGGCTCGTAATTTTGAACTTTCGTGCAATGTACACAACCTCCGTAAATTCATTCTTTTGACAAATGTGTTGAAAAATATTAAAATGGAAAGTCATACGGTTTAGGTACAACAGTTACATTTTTTCAGTACCCATGTTTTAAGCTATCTTGAATTTCCTGATTTTGAGTCAATGAAATGTAATTCAGAACAAGTAACTTTTAGCAATTGTAGCAGTGAAAATTTTGGTAAAATGTTTCTTATTGTCGTTGGTTTCAGTTTCCTAAACGTATAGCTGCATAAGCTGCATAAGCTGCATTCACATAGGTCAAGCAACAACCATACATAACAATATTTTAATTTTAATGACGCCAAAACATTTGCCTTATAACGCGATCCGGTCACAGTCTACCGAGCCGAATCTCAACAACACTTCCAATTTATATAGTCAGTGAAATAACTCCATTGTGATGCAAAACAAGTGCAAACCAAAAGTGACAACTAGCTAGCAAGCCCTCCTCGCTTTGAATATTTAATTGCGTGACATTGTGTTTGTGGTACTGTTAAATAAACGGAAATAATCGCAATCATTGATTCGATACGCTACCGTCAAAAGTTTCGACGCTTAAAATGTTTTTTTAAACGAATTGTAAACCCTACGAAAAGTCCGTTGGTAATAGGTATTTCATCCTTTACAATTTTAGCTGCACAGGTGAAATTCATTACGTATAAAAATCAAATAATAAATAAGGCAACTACAATTAATCCAACTCACTCTTATAGCCGGTTTACATTATTCCAGTATGCGTTAGAGTCCAGTACCCTTAGCACGTACCGATATCGAATTCGTATCGTTTGCGAGTCCGAAATGTCAATGCCAAATTTTGTATGGAAACTTGAAAAACAGCGCTACAAAGTACGTAACGAGAACCAAAAATCAGTAGGCATTAGACAGTGACATTTCGCACTCGCAAACGTTACAAAACATTAGAAAATTAATATTTCATTGGAATAGTTAACAAACCGAAATGTCGACATTTCGGTATGTTAACTATTCGAATTCGATAATGGTTCGTTCTAGGGGTGCTGTACCCTTAGCACGAACCAATATCGAATTCGTAACGTTTGCGAGTGCGAAATGTCACTGTCAAATGCGTACTGATTTTTGGTTCTCGTCTTGTTATCGTAGGAAATCGTGTTAACAATGCTACCTGGAAATCCTGGAATGAAAATGCTGGAATGGTAAGACTGAAACATCCACAATTTTGATGCATAAGCAATAAATGTAAGAGGCAGAATTGCACTTATCATAATAGAATCTGCGACCTATGAAAGTGTTCTATGAAAACTGATAATTTAATAAGATAATTAAGAAAACTGCTAATTTTATGTCTTCCAAAATATCCTTTAATTTTGAGATTTGAACGATGTAACATATTATGAAAAATATATGAAACCTACATTACCGCTATTTTAGTTTCCCAGTTCAGCACGCAAATAAATTAATGTTCTACGGTTGCACCAGACACCAGCACCCCTAGCACGAACCATTATCGAATTCCTATCGTTTGCGAGTCCGAAATGTCATTGTCAAATGTGTACTGATTTTTAGTTCTCGTTACGTACTTTGTGTCGCTGCTGTTTAAGTTTCCATAAAAAAATTGACATTGACATTTCGGTTTGCAAACTATTCGAATTCGATAATGGTTCGTGCTAGGGGTACAGATCTGGCAACGGATGAAATACAGAAGGACTCTGAAAACCCCTTTCAAAAGCCCACTAACTTGTTTATGTGGCAATCGCGTATGCTGAACTAGTTTATAACAATTTCATTTTATGCCTGAAATTTACATTTTGCAAAGTCTCATAGAGTTGAACAGAGACGTTGACTAATTCTCGGCCTCTACTATAAGTTGTAAAAGATTGATACAACGAAGCAACTAGGATTCTGATTCTAGTAAATATGTATTTATTATTAACAAAGCAACAAATAAATTAACGTATTTTAAAACCGTATTCGAATAAAATATTTCATTACATTTGAACAACACAGTTCCTGATTTTTATGAGCCTATCGATAACTGTCAAAAATAAAATGAACGAATGAAATCCAGAAACAATGCGAAATCCCTAACGAGTCGAACAAAAATGCAAATTAACTTACCGACTGCCGCGATCGAGGGTTCGATTCCCGCCCAACGGCGCGGCGGGGCCTTTGTCCCCTAATAGCCCCGAGTTGTGGGGTCCACCCCGTCTTAGTGCCCCACTTGCAAAACGTACTTGTCACCCTCCTAAAATTTCGGGCTTCATATTAAACTTTTTTTTTATAATTCAACTTTACATTAAGTTTTGCATTTTATTTGCAAAGTAGATAAATGTAAGAAAACATTATAGGTTACTTTTTGTAATAGGCATCGGGAAACTTTAATATCGCAAGCCTTTATGCCTATAGAGCCTCTATGCCTATAGAGTCTGTATGCCTATAGAGCCTATATGCCTATAGAGTCTCTATGCCTATAGAGCAGGGGTGGCCGACTTGATTAGACCCAAGATCTACTATTTACTGTCGAAACCCTGTGCAATCTACCAATTACATACTTCTTGAAATCTTAAATGAAACAGCACAGTTCAGTACACAATTATGAAGTAGTTTTTTATTTTAGTAAAAGGGCAAACATAAAAGCGAACGAGCGCCTTAGTAACTACTTATATTACTGCATAGAGTCATTATTAAAAGTGGTCCATAAGCAATTTTGTAGCATCATTATCACAATGGGAGAGGTTAAAGAAGATGCGTACAGCAGTTTGTGATTACGATGCGCAGTCTGTTCTACTTATTTTTTTTGGCTTGCCACGATCGACTGAACTTATAGTCGCAATCGACCGGTCGATCGCGACCGACTGGTTGGCCACCCTATAGAGCCTCTATGCCTATAGATCCTCTATGCCTATAGATCCTCTATGCCTATAGAGCCTCTATGCCTATAGATCCTCTATGCCTATAGATCCTCTATGCCTATAGAACCTCTATGCCTATAGAGCCTCTATGCCTATATAGTGGTGGCCGCTTACCATTAGGCGCATGAACCCAGGATTTGCTTATAATACTCGTGTGCCATCTGTTTCACATAAAAAAATAACGCATGTCCTCTTGTGTAGCGCATGTAATTTAAATCTTCACCCTGGTTAGGTGACAAACGCCCAGATGATAATTTTCTCGCGATCACCGGCGACTTCTTCCGCGTTAATTTTAGTTTTTTTTTATTCCACAGGAGCCATAAGAAAATCCGGTATAAAAAGTATCCTGTCTCAATCCAGGTCATAAACTATATACGTACCAAATTTAATCAAAATCCGTGCAGTAGTTTTTTCGTGATTTAGTAACAAACATACAAACTTTCACATTTATAATTAAAGTAGGATTGATAGTATTACAAACGCATGTCAACCTCTTTTTGGTTTCGATTTGGTATGCAAACTATAAAGAAAAGGCAGGCCACTTTAAAAATTAAATGCCAATCACGTGAAAATTTGAAAATGGAAGAGAAATAACAACCGATCCAAGCAGCCCAGCAGACGGGCTCTCTGATTCGCATTTTTTTTCTAAATTTTTGTCCGGTCAAAATTTTCGTACGAAAAATCTTTTGATTTCATAGTTTTTTCTATTTATTTTTACATCGGTTTCTTCAAAATTACCAGTGAACATCATGGTAAGTAATATTCTTATTATTTTAAATTGTAACATGTATACGGAGTTGTAAGTAGATATTTTAGTTTGTATTTGCAATATTTTATTTGGTATTCAATTCATTCAGCTGAACTTGGTTCTCGTCTTTAATTAAGATGCCACTGAACTATACATTATTATTTCATGATATTTCGAAAGAAAAACAGCCTAAGAGTTTTACACGTAGCGAGCGATATGTGCGGCATTTCAGTTTTATATCTATTTCAAAACATAGTTTCCATACTAAAATCATCCAGATTTATACGTAATTTATAAATTTCAAAATGATTTTTTCAACTAATATGCCATCTTTATAAATGTCATCTATGACGTTTCTAAATTTGGACCATGTAAATAATAATTATTTAATATATTATTCACTATTATGCACCTTAAACTCGTGTTGAACGCATGTATAACTTTTTTGTGGTAATGAGGCATCTTTGATTGCCGGTTTGATACTATTTCTCTTACCCCGTGAATTTGTATCAGCTATTTTGTTTCCATTTCTTTGGAGTGCAATACTACCTCAGCGGACACTTCAATGCGAATGGAAATTTTGTCTTATAGTACCTTTTATCTTGATTTTAAAAAGCTTTTACTTGTTAAGTATGTATTTATGGATCAAATTTTAAAACTGAATTTTAAAACAGTTATTCTCAACCGATTGAGATGAAATTTTAGAATTCGTTTTTGTAAACGACCCATAACATCGGGCTAGTATTTTTGCGCGCTCCCATGATATGGGTATGAAATAAAAACTTGTTTCAAAATGTTTTTCTATCTTAATCTTTTTTCGCGAGACTTAATGAATAATGTGCTGCTACCTTGTACGCGAGCAGAGGGAGTGCATCTCGGTGCACGTGGGGCAGGCGGGCGTACAGATGGGCGTGGCGTGCTGGCAGCTGTACTGCCTTGAGCACGGCATCCGACCCGACGGCACGCTGCCGGCCTGCGAGACTGACGTCAACGCCACCGACTCCTGCTTTAACACGTTCTTCTCTGAAGCTGACCGCGGCAAGATGGTGCCACGGGTCGTGATGGTCGATTTGGAGGCTACTGTTATAGGTAAGCTATTTGTATCAATTTCTCCTATTTGTCTATATCTGTATTGCCTTGAGCGAGGCATCCAATCCTACGGCACGATGCCGGCCTACGAGACTGACGTCTTCGCCGCCGACTCCTGCTGCAACACGTTTTTCTCTGAAGATGGGTCGTGATGGTCGATTTAGAGGCTACTGTTATAGGTGAGCTATTTGTATCAATTTGTCACATTTGTCTATATCTGTACTGCTTTGAGCACGGCATCCGACCCGACGGCACGCTGCCGGCCTGCGAGACTGACGTCAACGCCACCGACTCCTGCTTCAAAACGTTCTTCTCTGAAGCCGACCGCGGCAAGATGGTGGCACGGGTCGTGATTTGGAGGCTACTGTTATTGGTAGGCTATTATTTTGTTGGTATATTTAATTACTTTATGAAGTCATAAAGGAGGTTGGCTGGTGTGGTAGGTAAACCTGCCGTACCAGCTATCTTCGCGTCTACATTCTACTATCTCTTAACATCAGGTGGGGTGGAGTCAATTGTGGGATCTAGTTATAATTTCTTTTCCTTGGTGACCACACAGCGTGTGAAATTGGCATTTAAAAAGGTTCAGATACGAAGTAAGCAGTGTAACTAATGGGCACGGGCTGTTTGGTGCCTGGGCTGTTGCGACATCTTTATAGTTCCTTGTGATGAAAACAACAGCTAATGAGTTTGTATGTTTCTCTATGACATGACTGTGCTCGTTACTATGTTATTTTTATTTATAAAATATTTTCGGATTTTTTAACGTATTGTTTGAATTCTCCGTGATAACCCTTTAAACTACGTAGCTGCATCAAGCGCTTTACATACCAATCAGATCATAAAACAACTTTCATTCAGTTAAAACTAATCTTAATCGTACAGACGAAGTCCGCAACGGTGAATACCGGCAGCTGTATCATCCAGAGCAGCTGATAACGGGCAAGGAGGATGCAGCCAACAACTACGCTCGCGGCCACTACTCCACCGGCAGGGAGGTGCTGGGTCCAGTCATGGAGCGAGTGAGGAAGCTGGCTGACCAGTGCACGGGACTTCAGGTATCCTCATCCTGCATACAGAGCTACTGGAGCAGCTGTACCGTCCGGAGCAGGTAATAACGGACAAGGAGGATGCGGCTAACAACTACGCTCGCGGACACAAATCCACCGGCAGGGAGGTGTTGGGTCCAGTCATAGAGCGAGCGAGAAAACTGGCCGACCAGTGCACGGGACTACAGGTATCCTCATCCTGCATACAGAGCTACTGGAGCAGCTGTACCGTCCGGAGCAGGTAATAACGGACAAGGAGGATGCGGCTAACAACTACGCTCGCGGACACTACTCCACCGGCAGGGAGGTGTTTGGTCCGGTCATGGAGCGATTAAGGAAGCTGGCCGACCAGTGCACGGGACTACAGGTATCCTCATCCTGCATACAGAGCTACTGGAGCAGCTGTACCGTCCGGAGTAGATAATAACGGACAAGGAGGATGTGGCTAACAACTACGCTCGCGGACACTAATCCACCGGCAGGGAGGTGTTGGGTCCAGTCATAGAGCGAGCGAGAAAACTGGCCGACCAGTGCACGGGACTACAGGTATCCTCATCCTGCATACAGAGCTACTGGAGCAGCTGTACCGTCCGGAGCAGGTAATAACGGACAAGGAGGATGCGGCTAACAACTACGCTCGCGGACACTACTCCACCGGCAGGGAGGTGTTTGGTCCGGTCATGGAGCGATTAAGGAAGCTGGCCGACCAGTGCACGGGACTACAGGTATCCTCACCCTGCATACAGTTTTCCTGGGGCAGCTGTACTATTTGGAGCAGCTGATAACGGGCAAGGAGGATGCGGCCAATAACTAGGTAGGTTCTGGGTCAGGTCATGGAACGGGTGAAGGAAGCTGTCCAACCACTACCTACAGGTATTAGATCATATTTATGTAATACACCTGTATTCAGGATATTCCCCACTGGCTAGTGGGAATATTAATATCATGATTAAAAATAAATAATAAATGAATATTTCCAACACACCAATATTAAATACTAGATTAAAAGATGGAATACTTATATAGAAATAAATGTTAAACATCCATGACTGGAGTTCAAATGCTCGTATTCATCACATAAACATCTGCCCCCTCCGGGACCTTTCATAGTGTAGGCGACACCTTGAAACCTGGCGTCAAAACCACTCTGCCACGGAGGTCGTAAAGTACAGGACATTGTATATCATTCTCAGCGAAGTGAACTGTCAGTAAGATTAACAAGCAAATGGTAAGCCATAACCCTAAATTATGTGGCTAACCGCAAATAGCGTAATTTTCCGTGTATAATAATCTGGTTATTATATTGTTGTCTTTGCAAAGTTTCATCGTCGTAATTCTTGATGGAAATCTACATGATTGGATTTCTTTTAGGGTTTCTTCGTGTTCCACTCGTTTGGTGGTGGTACCGGCTCTGGGTTTACGTCACTTCTGATGGAGAAACTTTCTGATGAATTTGGGAAAAAGAGTAAACTGGAGTTTGCCATCTACCCAGCACCCCAGGTAAGAATACTTGTTTCTTAAGCATAGTATTTTATCCTTCTTTTGATTTACACTAATTTCACTTTTAATGCTGCCACTTTCTTGCGCTAACAATAGAATGAGACAGCGTTACTTAAGCATTATATTAACAAGACGGTTCAGAGTTAACTGAAAGTTTGTTTTTGTAATAGGTATCGACTGCAGTAGTGGAACCGTACAACGCTGTGTTGACGACACACGCGACCATCGGGCACTCTGACTGCGCGTTTATGGTGGACAACGAGGCTATCTACGACATCTGCCGCCGGCGGCTGTCCATCGAGCGGCCTTCGTACGCTAACCTCAACAGGCTGATATCACAGGTAACTGGAGCCTTCCAAGGCTGTGCTGACGACGCAGGTTACTATAGGCCACTCTGGACTGCACTTTCATGGTGGACAACGAGGCCATCTACGACATCTCATGCCGGCTCACATCACAGGTAACTGGAGCCTTACAACGTAGTGTTGTCGACGCACGGGACTATAGGACACTGACTGCAAATTGTGGACAACGAGGCTATCTCCGACAGCTGCCACCGATGGCTGTCCATCGAGCGGCCTTCGTACGCTAACCTCAACAGGCTGATATCACAGGTAACTGGAGCCTTACAACGCTGTGCTAACGAGGCAGGTTACTAAAGGCCACTCTGTCTGCGCGTTTATGGTGGACAACGAGGCCATCTACGACATCGCATGCTGGCTCATATCACAGCATAATATACAATAGACAAATTCAGCACAACACTCAAATGTACATCATGCATGACCCAGTCTGTTTTTGCTTCATATGGAAGATTCCTGTCACAGTAGTAGAGACATCAATACCTTTATCTTGTTAATTTTGTAACTATAGGTGGTGTCGTCAATAACGGCATCGTTGCGGTTCGATGGCGCTCTGAACGTGGACCTGACGGAGTTCCAGACGAACCTGGTGCCGTATCCGCGCATACACTTCCCGCTCGCCGCGTACGCACCAGTCGTTTCTGCTGATAAGGTGAGAGATCTAGAATAAGTGCAATCATTAATTTACCGGTACTTCACGTGGCTATTTGTGAATGGGAATTTTGTCACCCCTTATCATTCTAGTAGGCGTTTAAGCGGGGATTTTGGGATTTACTCGAGTAGAATAACAAAGGGGAAACTTTGGCCCTTTTCAAGGTATGGTGATACCTGAGCCCTCTATGTAGGACTGTACGTCTAGGGCACCAAAAAATCAACAACAAACGGTCATTACTTTTGGTCGCATCCAATCGTCAATATTTTGAATAGGAACTACTGGCACGTAACATCCATTTTCAATGTCTGACGCGTTTAAATATTAGTTTTTTCTTATTTTCTACCCTTTCGTACGAAGTCGTGCAGACCGGCATATTAATATTTTTGTCATCATAAACGTTACGTCCAGTACCTACTATTCAAAAGGCTGACGATTGTGATGCGATTAAAAGTCATGGCGGATTGTTTTTTTTTTGTTTCCGTATACGTTCGACCCTATATAAAGGAGTCAAAAATGGTGGAAGTACTTATAAGGCTGCCCCTCATAATCACATATGAGGGGCAGCCTTATAAGTACTTCCACCTCGCGCTCGAGTAAATCCCAAAATCCTCGCTTGGGGTCCTCTACTATTGCCTGTTTTAAATTTCTGTTACAAGGTTTGACTAAATAAATACTTAATTAAGAATTCTCTCAACGACGTTTACTTTGCAGGCGTACCACGAGGGCATGTCCGTATCCGAAATCACAGCAGAGCTGTTCGAGCCCCAGAACCAGATGGTTAAGTGCGACCCACGCGACGGCAAATACATGGCGTGCTGTCTACTGTACCGCGGGGACGTCGTGCCTAAGGACGTGAACGCGGCCATTGCGGCCATGAAGGGCAGGGCGGGGATACGGTTCGTGGACTGGTGCCCCACTGGATTCAAAGTGAGGATGAGTCGAGTATATATACATATGGTAGTGTTATATGGCGTGCTCGCTGCTGTACCGCGGGTCATAAGAGTCAAACGCGGCCATCGCGGCTATGAAGGGCAGGGCGGGCATACGGTTCATGGACTGGTGCCCCACCAGCTTCAAGGTAAGGAGGACACTAATATAAACAGATAGTGAATGTTACCCACGTGACGGCAATTATATGGCGTATTGTCTGCTGTACCGCGATGACCGCGCATTCTGTACCGCGGGGACGACGTGCCCAAGGACGTGAACGCGGCAATCGCGATTATGAAGGGCAGGGTGGGCAAACGGTTCGAGGACTGGTGCCTCACTGGGTTTTAATCTGATTTTGATTCTACGGGGATGTCGTGCCTAAGGACGTGAACGCGTGGACATCGCGGCCATGAATACGGTTCAATGTGAGGACGATTCAACAGTATAAATATATGAAGTGCGACGGCAAGTATTCGCTATGTGCGAAGTACATGGTGGGGGTATAGTGAAGCGATCGCAGCGCTTATCGTGGCAGAAATACGCAACAATCCGGGAAAGTAAAGTCAATTTGCACGGAGTTCGTAATAAACAAAATTTTTTTAAAATGCCTATTAATAGATGTTGTTGTGTTGTGAATTGCAAAAATAAGGGCACAAATAGTCTGTGTATATATTTCCTACATTGGACTGGAAATTAAATCAAAGAAATAAATGGATAGATGCCATAAAAAGAAATAAGTAAGCGAAATAACCTTAAATTATGATCAATTTTATTTGCGCTATATATTTTATGTGATATTCATTATTGTCTTTATTATTTTAGTGTTGATGGGTCGCCATGGTATCCCAAACCTGACGACACAATTTGTAGTGAACATTTTATGGGAAACAAAAAATCAGACGAGGAAGAAAATCCGAGTTATGCTCCTACGATATTCCCTGAAATATATCGAAAGAGGAAGGTTAATGATTCACAGGTCCTAGCTAGATATACACGCTTGACAAAACGAAGAACCACAAAAGTCTCAGATACCACATCAAGTCAAATAATAATTGAAGAAGGGAGTGAATTAAATCAAACTCAACCTTTTATGATCGATCAAGGATGTCAAGTCAATATGTTTTCTGAATCGAAATTAAGAGATACAACTTTTATTTGTATTAGATTAATTTACAGTGATCACTGTGATGCTGAAATCCAACATCAAGAATTTTAATAACAAATAATTCAAGAAAGAAAGATAAAAGCTGTGGCACTGACAAAAAATCGTATGAGGATCAATCTACCGAAACAAAAAGTCAAGAATTTGTTGGTATTTCATCAATAACAAATGATCAAGAACTCCTAGATCCTTCTGGTGTGTCATTTAGCAATTTTGAGTTTTTATTAACAAGATTAACTATGAAAAAATGTACAGTTTCCACTAAAGACCGACTTCTGATTTTTTTGATAAAAATGAAAAATGGCTTGACATTTTCAGCATTGAGTGTGTTATTTGGTGTACAAAAAAACCACAATCTCACGTATATTTCATTCGATCTTACAAAATCTAGCTTGTTCAACTGCTAATTTAATCTTTTGGCCGAATAGAGCCACCGTACAAGCAACAATGCCCAAGTGTTTCAGTCCAGATTACATCAATACAAGAGTTATTATTGACTGTACTAAATTCCGAATTGAAATCCGACAGTATTTAAATTATTATACACTATATATTAATTTTTATTTATCTTTATATTACTATATTTACTAGAAATCAATAAAATACAAACTGATGTCATTATTTGGCATAATCCCGGAAAGTTGCGTATTGTAGGTGGCGCTCTGTCGTGCACATAGCGAATATGGCGTGCTGCCTACTGTACCACGGGAACGTCGTGTCTAAGGACGTGAAAGCAGCCATCGCAGTCATTAACTAATTCATAACTTAGAATTTCATTCAATTTGCCGTCTCGAGTAGGGGCGACCCCATTGGAGTGTCGTTAAATTTTATTTTTGTTAGTTTCATTATATCAGCCTATTAATGTCCCCACTGCTGGAGCACAGGCCTTCGCAGTGCGGATTGGTGGGCGCTAACGACTGCAGATGCTGCCGGGACCAACGGCTTAACGTGCCTTCCGAAGCACAATAAATTTTTGGTCACCCTTCCAATGACCGACCACAGCGGAAGTTGCTTAATTTCAACGATCGCAGCCGAACGCCCTTACCACTTGCGCCATCGAGCTCCTCCTTTGTTAGCTTTATGAATATAAATTCATAATTGACACGTTCCAGGTGGGCATCAACTACCAGCCGCCATCGGTTGTCGTAGGCGGGGATCTCGCGCAGGTGAAGCGCGCCGCGTCGATGTTGAGCAACACCACCGCCATCGCCGAGGCCTGGGGCAAACTCGACCACAAATTCGACCTCATGTATTCCAAGCGGGCGTTCGTGCATTGGTGAGTTTCTCATTGTTACATTAGTTTCGAGTTGATGTGTAGCAGCAGTGGTGGTGTGAAGAATCGAGACCGCGTCAATACAGCTATGGAGGTCGTTTGGGTAGGGAAATAGAAAGCGGAGCGGACGGTTTATCAACGGTGAGAGGAGAAAAGAAGAAAAGCTGCTAAAAATGAATAAACAAGACGATTGTGTTCTCTTTCATAATGTCAAAATGATTGCGTTAGCACCCGCTAAAGACTGCAGATGCAGACGGAGTCAAGCTTAACGTGCCATACGGAACGCTAAAGATCTTGATATTAAGGTTTTGGTCTATGACAGGCGATTTCAAAAGTTGCTTAACTTTCATTGATCGCAGACCACGGGATGAGGGATATGGGATTAGAATATGAGTAAATAGACTAGTGGCTGCTTACCACCAGACGGGCTATACTTGTTTTGCCACTTTTCTTACATAATTGGACCAATACTAATGAAGGATCGGTGGCGATTTTATTAACGCGTATAAGACTATACGCGCGAATTGGGGATGTTAGGAAACTTTCGCAATGACTGGACAACTGTTTTTCAGGCGGCATATTAAATCATTGATCTCCAGTTGTATTCTTAAACACCCAACAAACCTCACTAAGCCAGCGGTGGTGGGTTTGACCCTTTCTCCTTTATTATATTCTGATCTTATCGAAGACTTAATGCCCTTAGGCTGATGTTTTGATTCGCGTATTCACCACTAGTAGGAACATTAGGTTATTGATCTACAATTATAATTGCGAAGTCTTGGATTTATTTGTAACGAAAATAATTCTGGGCACCAATATTACCGCTTTCTTCAAAATAATATTCTGGTTTTCTTAGGTACGTTGGCGAAGGTATGGAAGAAGGCGAGTTCTCAGAAGCACGCGAAGACTTAGCTGCCCTAGAGCGGGATTACGACGAAGTAGGCATTGAAACGTCAGACATGCAGCCTGGCTGCGACGACGAGTTGTGACGTCATCAGTTATACGCACACGCGCCTTTGCCACTGTGGTAGCATTCACTCCGACTTCAAACTATTTAACTGAAGGGACTGGAGATATCCATGTCCCACCGATATTCACAACCATTTGAATCCTGAAGTGAAGAACAGATTTCTATTTGACCGAATGAAATGAATTAAAGCCGCTAAGGTGCTGATAGGCGTGACAACACAGATGACTTTCTCTATGTAATGAGAAGACCTGAAATTTATAGCCAGCTAACTAGAAGACTACATAGGTGCTGGCCGATTGCCTGCTGGATTCATAGAAAACTGAGTATTGACGAACAGAACAGATGTCCCATGTACCGAGATAGCACGATTTCTATCGAGATCAATTTAATAATGCTCTTGTCGTCGAACGATTTGGCTGAGCGCGAATATTAGTTGGCGGCTGTATCGTCGCCACCGAAGCGGACGCCACAAAACCGCGGCCGCATTGATAATATTGATTATGGCAGTTCAGTGGAAATTTTTAAAGGTTCGAAAATGTCCGCCAAGGTCGGACGATGCGAGTTGCCTTCCCGCGACCAGGCAAAGGAGTATAACATTGTCAAGCTTCTGGAGCCATATTCTTAATGCCACGACAGGCGCGTGAACTAGTTATTTTCGTGCCGAGCGATGGAAAGCTTAGTGAGCGATTGACTATAAAATGTGTCTCCCTTGCTTGTTTTCTCCGTCCAGCAGTCTTGCGACGTGTTATATATAGTTTTTTCTTTGGATGTTTTTGCTAAATTTTGAGCAAATGCTGGACGAAGAAATGTGATTTTTTTTTTATATCTTTGATTGATTTTGGACGTGTTTTGTGGCGAATCGCGCAGTGTGCGGTAAATTTTGACTCTATATTAAGTGTAAATGTGTAGTAGTTTGTGTCCGTCCATTCGTGTCGTGGAAATTTCAGTGTACCGTCTCAAGTCCGCGTTTAATAAATTGTGTTCATTTTATCTGGTATTTTTATTTTGGGTTCTCATAAAAACAATAGGGCTTTCAGCTAATATTTTTTATTTAAATAATGGTAAAATACTTACAGAAATCTATTTTGGTAATAAAATGTTCATGTAGTTTGTACATAACAAAAAATAAATCCATATTATTAAATCTAGCTAAAATATATTTAAATTGCATCCACTTTAATTTACAATAATAATTTAGTAACAAAAATATTTTAAAACAACTTACATCTATCATCGCTTATTGTTGTGGGCTTATCATGGTAACACGCTTTGATTTCTTTCGCAATCCAGACATACTGGAGGACTTTGTATTATATAATTCGGAATATCTATTCCACCCCCAACAGCAGACGGACAGATTAATATCTCGGAATAGCAAAATCCCAGATTAGAGGACAGATTTGCATAAAGGCAGATAATGTATGTACAAACTTATAATCAATTTGTGACCTATTTGCTTTATATACGTAAATGGCTACTATAAATAGTCAGTCTGTGACATTGTTTTTTCTCATCTCAAAAGTCGATTTCATCTTATTATATAAACTTTTTCACGGGTTTATTAAATGACACTGCAATAGGATTTTTGATACGCTGGGCCAAAGTTACAAAGTCGAATTACCTAATTTGTCTATAACTACGTATCTAATTTTATTTTGTTTTCTGTATGGGTCTGTACTGCTGCTTTTATGCAAATCCTTCTGCTAATTTGCAATTTTGCTAATCCTGAACATTGCCTTTCTGTTCTTCTGCTGCATAGGGATTTCACTCACGTCTATATTTTTCAAGATTCCGTTGGGCTACTGGGATCACTATTTTGCTCCTGTGTACCCTTTCTCCTGTATACCCTTGATTGTTTTGATTCATGGCTAAGGGTAGAGTGGTTAAAATTGATCTTCCACTGTACCACCAAGGGAACATTGGAAAATACGGGAAAACCTGGTACACCTCTTGTACCCGTGGTATTACTGGCAACTGGCCATTCATATGGTATCGACAATACAAGCGTTTACTTGTAACATGTAATTCCTTATTAATATTAATAAGGATAAGACATCGTGTATAGATACCACATTAATACTTTTTGAACCTTCATGCTGCTACTTTTGTATGCTACTGAAGTATTTTTTCACATAAACTGTGTCTCCTACATATTACTTACTGTCTCCTACAATATTTTTATATTCAAATTATTTTTTAACTTATGACCCATCGTTTCCACCAAGAAGGAAGTCGTATACTATTTTTAAACAAAACTTGTGGAATACTTGTTGTGGCTGTTTAAGACATTCTTTCGTTCACAATGCATAGACAACTAGTATCTTACAAGTATAAATCACTAATTTACTTCACATATTGTTTTTCCAACAAGTTTGATGCAAGTATAGTATACTATACAACATATTTCATACATGTCAAAAATTAAGACATTGTATAAAATTTGGTTAATACACGTGTATTGACCTTGGTGTAAACGAGGGGTAAGGATTCCAACACAGATTTATTCCAATTATTCAAAAATAGTTTAATATTTTTGACGAATGTCTTAAAAATATTATAAGATTCTTAAAAACAAGCTTTATTACTACTTCTCGTTAATAATTTAGGTTAAATGAGGTAAGGTAAGGTGAAAGATACAAGTCCGAACTGAACCGCAGACTACAGGCCGCAGCTGCAGACTGCAGGCGACACTACTCGTTTCTATAAATCTCTATTAAATTGATTCCGAGCGCCGTGACATGGCGCGGCTGCACAATGCATTTAGTGCACCGTCAGCCGCAGGCGCTAGCCGCAGTGTCGCCTGCGGTTGTCGCCTGCAGCTCATTGCGGAAATGTACCTGAATTCTGTTTTTTATTTGTGATTGGGTAAGCTCTTGATCCTCTATTCGGCCCGAGAGCAGAGATGGCATGTACGGTATAGCCAGCTTACCCTGTTCATTCACATAAATAAAATTTTATTATAAACTTCTACAAAGGAAGGCAGCCTATGTTCATCATGCCATAGTGCGTTCATTGAACATCCACCTGAGTGTTATCTGAACCTAATAACTAAACCTACTTAGTTTTAAGCGTTACATTTACAAAAAGTATTTCTATTGCACCCAATAAACGATTATGCACACTTTCATGAGTACTTGGGAATCTATTCAAAATACACACCTAATCACAATGTACATTAATTTATTACACGACTACAGCTAGGCAGAAACCCCTTTCATCAAAATACCTACTTCTAGGTTCTTCAATATTCAAGTTATATTAGAACAATCAATGAAAATCTTTACTACAATATATAGGTAAAGAAATAATTTCTGATATATTTCAGTATCTGATAACTAATTATAGAAAAAAATAAATAGGTAAACAGAAATTGCAGTAATTTCTGTTAAAACGTTCTCCTTATAAAAATATGGATAAGTGGAAAAATATATCTTTATTTCTACCAGTATAGACAGCTTGGTATTGACAAATGGTATAGGCAAAACAATACTAGATGGAGGATTCCAAAACACCGCAATTTTTGTATGATTCGTGAACACTCCTCGTTCCTAAGTAACATTCAGTAGCTGGAACTGCTTAAATTCTAAGGGCCGTTACTCTGGCAAAGAGTTGACGGCCTTACGTAACTCCTAGAGCTTCCTCGGCGGCGGCGAGTCGCACGCGCTGGGCGTGAGGGACAGCCGCCTGATGTTGGGCTTGTCGTACTCCTCCATCGACATGGCGCGGGACATGCGTCGCTCAACGCCAGGAGGCGGCAACGACGTCAGCAGACCCTGGCCTTGGCAGAACAGGAGCAGGGACTGCGACACTTTGGCGGGCTGTGAAACAAAAGTTTTAGTCATAATCTGATGGTGATCCATTTGAAGGTAGGAGCTCAATGGCGTAGGTGGATAGTGGGTTCGGTCGTGAAAATGAAGCAACTCTCGCAATGGTCTCTCATTGGATGGGTGACAAAAACTTATAGCTCTTCTCTAGCTCCTCCATGCTTCGGAAGGTACGTTAAGCTGCATCTGCAGTCGTTAGCGCTCACCAAGCTGCACTGGGCTGCCGTGGTGGGTCATGTCATGACCCAATCTCTCTATTCCATCCAGGCCTGCGCCCCAGTAGTAGGGACATTAATAGGCTGGTGATGGTAATGACAATCACCATCAAATAATGCCCCCCTAGATGGACCGGCGATCTGTTAAAAGTCGCAGGAAGCCGCTGGATGCGAGTTGTTAAGTTAAAAATAAATACTAGTGATGAATAACGTCTTTATTTTAATAAATATTGATATAATGTTTTAAATTAACTGCAGTATTACAACATTCGTTAAGTTTACTCTACCTAATGTGAGGCAGGTTAATACTAATTGAAAAATAAATGACCAGTCTGTAGAGTTAGTGGATTCTACAAAGTTTCTCGGTATTACTTTATACTCTCGTCTGCAATGGGATCCTCATGATGCCTTGTCAAGTAGACTGAGTTCTGCAGCTTTCGCTGTTAAAAAAAAGACTTAACTGACGTGGAAACGGCAAGATTGGTTGTACTTTGGTTACTTTCATAGTGTTATGTCATATGGGCTTTTGTTGTGGGGCTCAGCCGCAAATATCGAAAGTATTTTCATACTGCAAAAGAGACCTGTTCGCGCCATATACAATTTAATGGCAAGAGAATCCCTTAGAGAAAATTTTAAAGAAATTAATGTTTTAACACTGGCGTCGCAATACATTTATGATAATTTAACATATGTAAAAAAAACTATAATGCATTTGCAAAAAAAGTCAAACCCATAACTTTAACACGAGATTTAAGAACAAGCTTGGAACGGCAAGCTTGTTTTAATGTTTGGGACTCCAAAAATCAAGAGGTTCATTTCTGGGTTATAGTATTGCATTGTTTAATAAAGTTCCCCAAAATCTGATTGAGCTTCCACTGACTAAACTTAAATCTCAGATCAAGATTACTTTTATCAATAAGGGCAATTACAAAGTTGGTGATGTTGATGATCTTAAAGCATGGACATAGTTTTTCTTGTAATTTGTTATTTGATGGGTATTGGTAACCCCCAAAATTTAATGTTTTTTTTTTTATTTTTGTGTGAAAATCTTAATGCGGTTAACACCATACATCCACTTACCAAGTTTCAAATGTATAGTTCTTATAGTTTAAGGACGGACAGACAGACATGACGAATCTATAAGGGTTCCGTTTTTTGCCATTTGGCTACGGAACCCTAAAAAATATTAGGTACCATAAAAAAGTTTATAGTCTGTCAACCTTAAAAGATAGACATATGATGTCGCAGACTTTTTTAGGACTTTTAAAGGAGAACAATTTCTTCATAGATGATTTTTGAAGTTATACTTCTTTAGGCGCGTTATGAAAAAATGATGAGAGTGAAATTTTTAGATGCGCGCGCATCACTGTAACCCAAAAGTAACAGCATGAAGTTGGCCGCGGGCGCGTTATGAAAAAATCATGTGAGTGAAATTTCGAGATGCGCGCGCATCACTGTAACACAATAGTAACACCATGAAGTTGGCCGCGGGCGCGTTATGAATGTTAGTGTCTAATCATCTGTTCAACATCTGTTCGAAAGGTATTTTGAACGATCCACGGAGCTCCATAAGATGATCACGTTGTCAAAAACAATGTTGGCACGCTCGTCGCCTCTGATCACTGTTTTCATATTTATAATATTTATCCACATGTTTCTAGTTTCTATATAGACACAACGTGTTTTAGTTACTTACAAGTGCTAATTACATATGGACTAATAACTTAAATTCAGTAGTGATTTTAATTGAATATTTTGAATATTTATTTAATTTTTCAAATTAAAACTGAACTTAATTGACTGTTATAATTTTTATTATTTTTTAAAGCATGTAACTGCTTGATGTTTAAATTTTTTTTCTAGTTATATTTTCTTTAGATTTAAACATCAAGCAGTTACATGCTTTAAAAAATAATAAAAATTATAACTATAATTGCTATTTCTTCTTTCAAATGTTTAATACTTGTAAAAGTATTCATTTGACATTGTGGGTTTACCTATAATGCGAAGAGATGGCGCTGCCTTGCAGCTTAAGAATAGCTAGAAAGAATTTCGACGCGGTCCGTGAGGGCCGCGGTAGCATAATTGGTCAGTGCATTCGCCCGGATTGCGAAGGGTGCGGGTTCGAGTCCCGTCTGCTGCCTGGTCCGCGTGGAATTTTTTCTAATTAATTGACTGTGTTAACTATCCTTTTCCAATCCTTTTATTATTTTATTGTAATTATTAATTATTTGCATGCAATTAAAAAATATTTTTAATGATGCTAAAGAAGTATAACTTCTCACGCGCGTACATAAGTTACACGCATCCATTTTTGTATAACTTTACCGTTTACGCAGCGCACGAAACGAAAGCTCTGAAAAGGATTTTTTTCCCCCGTTTTTGCAACATTTTTCATTGATGCTCCACTCCTATTAGTCTTGTCATGATGGAAAGTATCCTATGACCTTCCTCGATAAATAGACTATCTACTACAAAAATATTTTTTAAATTTGAATCAGTAGTTCATGAGATAAGCGCGTTCAACCAAACAAACTCTTCAGATTTATAATATTAGTTTATGTAGATTGATTATGAAAAGTTGTATTTCAAATAAAAAATCTGACTAGGTACTGATTTTATAGATATTAACGGGATTGTTTCCATGTACCTTGTTTTTTATGAGTCTCCGATATTTCGGCACTGTTGCAAGCGCCATGATCACGGAGTAACTCTGAGTAACTCAGTACAGTAACTCTGAGTAACTCAGAGTTACTCCGTGATCGTGGAGCTTGCAACAGTGCCGAAATATCGGAGACTCATAAAAAACAAGGTACATGGTAACAATCCCGTTAATATCTATAATGTTAGTGACCATGAAAGTTTAAAACAATATATAGGTACTGATTATATTTAATTCCCGCGCATTTTTTTTTATGTTATAGGGGGCATACGAGCAGACGGCTCACCTGATGGTAAGTGATCACCGTCGCCCATGGACACTTGCAACACCAGGTGTATCACAAATGCGATGCCGGCCTTTAAGAAAGGAGTACGCTTTTTTTGAAGGTTTTTCGATTTGAGAAGAGTACTGTACAAGCCTTGACCACAACTAGGCATTGATGGTTTGTATGCACGTTCGATGCCTCTTTTGCCAAGGGCGGATCCAGAGGGGGGGTCATGGGGGTCATGACCCCTCCCTGGACTGGGTCCATCTGTACCCACTTCACAATCTGTACTTCATAATCTGTACCCACTGTGACTTGACCAGACTATATGACCCCCCCTGGCGCCAAAGCTGGATCCGCCCTTGTCTTTTGCTGGCCACTGCAGTAATGTACTATTGCAACTATTAAACTTTCCGTCAGAATTCCAAATGATTTGCGAATTTTGTTTTTACTTCTCTGTTAATTATTGTAAGCCAAGTATATATTTATTGATGATATATACGATGGCGCAGAGGAGCTCGATGGTGCAAGTGGTTAGCGCGTTCGGCTGCGATCGTTGAAATTAAGCAACTTTCGCAGTGGTCGGTCATTGGATGGGTGACCAAAAAATTACTATCTCGAGTTCCTCCGTGCTTCGGAAGGCACGTTAAGCCGTTGGTCCCGGCTGCATCTGCAGTCGTTAGCACCCACCAATCCGCACTGGGCCCGCGTGGTAGGTCATGGCCCAATCTCCCTATTCCATCCATAGGGAAGGCCTGTGCCCCAGTGGTGGGGACATTTATAGGCTGATGATGATGATGATGATATACGATGGAGAATCATTTTTTTTATTTTTTATTTAAAAAAGGATTATTTTTCCTTAAACTGGCACTTTAGAGTAGCAACTACCAAAGGTTGTGGTGGTTATAAAATAATAGTCACTTATGAAGGTATATAATAGAGATTTTTTCCCCTTTTGTTTTAGCTTAATAGGATTTTTTAAACACATTATCTACATATTAGCAATGTACTTAGACAAATAAAGAAAAGGATTGTTTTTGCCAAAAAAATTTATCAAGTGTAACTTCCAGTCATAAACGTAAAACTAAATTTTAAATAATAGTTTTAAGATGTACTCCGGATAAGTTAAATTTTAAATTCAATTATTATTTTATGTTATTGACGTTTCAGACTACAACCATTACAACATAACTTCAAGTTTGAAAACAACTTAATTCCACCTTTCTCATAAAGGGTTCCGAGTTATTTACATTTTTATGTGTTACGGTACTTCTTTACCGCAAATGGCGAGTAACCCAAATCCAATCTCGTTAAAATGTTTTTACTTTCACCGACGCCGTCAGTCTTCACCGTTCATGGCGAAACTTACATCGAATATTATTTTCGGGGTATTCTTTAAATAACAAACAAAACTATTACCTCTTCAATAACAACCAAACTTTAATGTCACGCTAATAATATTTCACTTTTGCCACATATAATTTAATTATCATAATTGGTTGCTCATCCTCATAGTAATTTAAAAAAATCCAACCACGATCAATTGAATATTAAAACATTTAAATTTTCAATTAACAAATGATAATTGGTTAGGTCACCACTGTATAAAAACATTATCAACGGTTCTTGTTTATAAATTACAAGCTTTTAATTCATCGTCACTTAATTTCACAATGTCTAAACTCTTTTCCCATACACATTTAGATAATTTTTTATCACACGCCGCTTTTCCCGGTGGCATAACTCTTAAATTCCTAAAATATTTTCCACTCGACTTCTTCACTTTATCACTCAAGCAAACATATAGAGCCGTCTGTGAACCTTCCCATGGATTCTTGAAGAGTATGCCGATTAAAAATGTCCATATTGTTCCAAGACTTAAACCTACACTGCGGAATATAGGAGTGCCCACTACACCTGGATCAACAGAGTGCACAACGACATTACCCTGCAGTTTCTTACTAAGTTCGTGAGTAAATAACACGAGGCATAATTTGCTGTTTCCGTATAATCTCGTTTTGCTCCAATAATTCGTTCGGTTCCAATTCTCAATGTCTATATTGCCAATTTTGTGCATCAACGATGATGTATTTACTATCCTGCTCGGTTCCGATGGCTGGCCTGTCTTCTGGAGAAGCGGCAGGAGTAAAAGTGTCAGTAAAAACGTGCCGAAATAGTTCACTTGCATTATGAAGTTAAGCCCATCAGACGACAAAAAATCCCCCGGTATACCCACGCCGGCATTGTTAAGTAATATATCTAACCTCTCCTCGGTTTCCAATATATCTGCAGCAAACTTTCTCACTGATTTAAAAGATGATAAATCCAATAGTTTAAATATAACCTTCTCACTTCCTGTTTTCTTTTCAATTCTTTCTTTGGCTTGAAGTCCTTCATCTTCAAAAGGGCAGGCTATAATAACTTTTGCACCTCTATGAGCGAAGTCTGTGGCTATTTCCAATCCCATTCCACTGGTACCTCCGGTTACAATAACAGTTCTTCCATGGAGCATCTTCTTTGATTTGCACATCAAGTTTGTGTTTTTCTGGTAGAGTCCAAGTATCATTACGGCTATAGCTATTATTTCAAATATTGAAGTGTTGGTGTACAGAAAAAATAATAATACACTAACCGAAACGGTTTCAACGATTCTCCACGACATTTTGACTTTTTATTTAAAGCCAATGCCAATATAAACAAATCACTGCATATTCGAGTAGTAGGTACGAAGTTTTGTTTTGTCTGGAGTCGTTTAAACTTGTTGTTTTGTGATTTCGTTGCGTTCACGCATTCGCGGTCACCGGCTGACTGGTTTCTGGTTTATTATTTAGATGTCTGCTGCAACAGCGGACGCAATGTTGCGATGTAAACTGGCCGACAGGGCGGTGGGAGGTGAATTACGTTATTGCATTTGAGTTCTTACATACCTTTAATTCAAGTAATATAAATGGATACCTACCTATTGAAAGTAAATGCTGCAATCAACTGCCGGTACTGTTTAATACAAACTTATTATTACTCACATAGGTACCTACTTAAATAATTCCTATCTTCGTGTTACCTAGAATGTGTAATAGCAATTACTGATAAGTTTACAATGTAGCATTGTAATTTCGAAGCCAATCTTAATCGATTTCAATAGTTACTTATTTATTTAATTGCTTCATTAATTAATATAAAATATCGTTATAGGCATGCAAGAATTAGACGGGGATGATGTATTTTTAATCTTCTACGCCTTCTTCACATATTTTACATAGTATCACTATACGAAGACTTGTTTAACAGGATCTGTTAAACACTCATTTGAGTTACCACCTCAATGATTATCCATCGCAAATTACGATTTAGCAACATATAAATAAAAAACACATTTCTGAAACGTTGCTAATAACTATTTGTAGGCTCCTTACTTGGTGTATTTAATTGCGACCTGGCCTGATATGGTTGTAATATACTAATCCGGAAATTTTGAGTTTTTAAAAACTTATTTTATGAAGACTTCGTCAACATAAAGGATAGCAACGAAATCAGTAAACCTTTCTCAAATGAAGGCAAGTAAGTAACTTCATCTGTATTGTAAGTAAGTAACTATATCTTATGTATTATGTATGTTATCAAAATAGTCATGGTACTGAATAAATATTTTTTCTTTCTTTCTTTCTTTCTTTCTTTCTTTCTTTCTTTCTTTCTTTCTTTCGTATTATTGGAAGTAGTAAGTAGGGTTACTTACCCTAGCCAGATGGGGCATCGTATGATATACAACATATTTTTTGCATTTATCTCTATCTCATCTTTGTCTATGTATATAAAATAATAAATAAATATTTCCAACACACACCAATTAGCCTAGCCCCAAAAGTAAGCACTGTAAGGCTTGTATTATGGGATACTAGGGTAACGGATGGAATACATATACTGATACATAAATAAGTATATTTATATAGAAATACATATTAAACATCCATGACTGGAGTACAAATGGTCGTATTCGTCACACAAACATCTGCCCCCACCGGGATTCGAACCGACCTCTCGAGTAGGCGACACGTTGAAACCCGGCGTACAAACCCCTCGACCACGGAGGTCGTCAAATATGAAAAGCTCGTAAGCACATTACATACCCTTGGTATTTGGTTAGGATTAACAACTTTTTTTCTATCAAATATAGTATTTTCCGAAGCTGCTATCTCTAAAAATATAGTTGATGACAAAAATTTTTAAACAAATCTAGTATGTGGTTAAAATATTTACTTTATTTTTGGAGTATATTTTTTGCTGCTCTATAACTTAATACTTCAGTTTTTATTGTAACTTTTACTAGCTTTACTGGCAAAAGTCTGCTTTAAGCAAAATACAGTAGTTTCTATTTTTTTTTAGAAATGTGGTGTTTGATACCCTGATATAGTAGGATACTATACTATATAGTAGGGTTGGCAACCCTATCTTTGGTCCTTCTTACCTCTGAAGCGGTAAACATCAGCAACCTCGCTTATTCCATAGGAGAAGCCTGGCTTCAGTTGTGCATGATATTAATGGACTTATCAAAAGTGATGATATTGACTCAATTATTAACTGCTTATAAAAAAAGTGGACTAGAAAAAATACCGTTACAGTTCCGTCCGGTAAGTCCGTCCGCCCGGTGCAGTTCAAATCTCTACCGAGTAATTGCTTTGCTAATAAAAAAAACTTTAGATTTATTCATCATCATCATCAGCCTATTAATTTCCCCACTGCTGGGGCACAGGCCTGCCCTATGGATGGAATAGGGAGATTGGGCCATAGTCCACCACGCGGGCCCAATGGTGGATGCTAACGACTGCAAGTGCAGCCGGGACCAACGGCTTAACGTGTCATCCGAAGCATGAAGGAGCTCGACATAGTACTTACATTTTTTTATGGTCACCCATCCAATGACCGACCTCTGCGAAAGTTGCTTAACTTTAACGATCGCAGCCGAACGCGCTTACCACTTGCGCCATCGAGCTCCTTAGATTTATTATAGGTTAATAAATCTAAGGAGCAGTATCATAAGGATTTACTTACTGCCTCAGCTAGTACGTCGCCCGCCTTGTCGACCTTCAGGATGGTGACCTTGTCCTTGTCCAGTTCCCTGTACATTTTCTCCACGACCGAGGAGTAGGGGCTTTGCATGCCGGTGATGAGCAGGATATCAGGTTGGCAGCCCTTCAGCATTAGGTCTTTGCGGCTGCGAGAAAAATGCAAAGGATCAATTTGCTACCTGAACAACAGGATCAGCTAGTTGTTTACCAAAAAAATCTGCAAATAAATTCAGATGGATGTAATTTTTTTGTGTAGTAATGCGAATTCCGGTAAAGGAGATTGCTCAAATTGGCCTAAATGCACAAAAAATATTGACATGCACGGTAATTCTTGGCGTAATTTATAATTTAATTTACAGTCATTAGATTTCAACGGACACCTTTGTATAATATATTTACTTTAAAAAAGACTTTTAATTTTACCGGCTTGGAAAACATACGAATCATTTTTAATGGCTATGGGTGTAGTGACATTCAGCCAAAGACTGATCGAAGTTGTTTATATAACATAAAAACAAATCTATTTTGTAAAGATAGAAAAAATAAATCATTTTTTTTATTACACTGTGGTATTAATATCCACAACTATATTATCATTTTCACTAGATGCAAATGTGCTCAGACAATTATTATAGATGGTAGGCGACATCATAAAGTCTATTGCCATACATTTTTCGCAAAACACATTATAATCTGTATATATGTTAAGGTATCTATCTATGGGCCTACGTCCCCTGACTATAAATTAATAAATAAATAAAATTGTGTGTGTCTGAGTGTGATACACTAAAAATCTACAATATGGTTATCTTAAAAACATAACAAAAATAATGAAGCTACTGAATATATGGCTAATGAACCTAAATCTCTTAGCTTTCTTTGGTTAACGAGAGTTTAAAAATTCTCTCTAATCTGTGGCTCATTCACAATCATCACACAGTTTCTGTCACAGAGTACCTTATTACCGGAAATGACACCTGATTTAAAAAGTTACTCTTATGCATTAACTTTAAAAACAGGCAACTATCTGTTAATCTACATGCTCTATATACCTGAATCTAATCCATAATTTCGATACTAGGCTTGAATTCCCTAGTTTACTATATAACTTATTTGTTTTCTATTATTTTAATATGTTCAGTGTATATGGTTTATAGAAGTTCTCAGGGGTGTCCGTCAATAATATTCGTTTCTACAGTAATTTATATATAATTTCGAATCTAGGAAACAATTTTTCATGATTATTGGTCTTTAGGCCAAACATGTATGGAAGCTGAGCAATCTCCTTTATTTAATTTATAGTTATAATTTTTATTTTTTAAGCATGTAACTGCTTGATGGTTAAATCTTAAGAAAATATAACTAGGAAAAATCGAAAATATAAAAGGCAGCAGACGGGACTCGAACCCTTATTTGATTTATGTTAATCTAAAATGCAATATATTTTGGAAACAGTCTATATTTTAAGCAATTCGTTCGTTTTAATATTTTCTTTTAAGGATTTTTTATTAGATCATAAATTTTCTAGTACATAAATTGAACGACTATTACTCTTAAACTAACAAATCTATCTTAGCCGCTATGGATTTCCTTTAAAGTTCATAAAAAGCACTATAATCATGATTTTTACAGGTTTTTCAAGACAATAGTTTAGCTTTTAGAGGGGGTGGGGGGCACCCTACTCGGACAAAAATTAGCACTTTAAAGTCTTTAATTCTTTCGTCTTTCACAAACGGATCTCTAAATCGAGAAATAGTCTTAGGAACTCATAAGCAATTTTAAAGGACCTATTCAACGATATCCCATACTATGGGGAATATGATGAAAAAACATCCCCAGATTACATTCAGGGGAGTTACCCTAAAAAAAAAATTATTTCAATTTTATTCCACCAGTTTGTCGGCGTGATCGATATACATAACTCCACAAAATTAGCTCTCTAGTGTTAATAGTCTCCAACAAAACCGGGGACGGACAGACGGACATGACGAAACTATAAGGCTTCATTGTCAGGACTATGGAACCCTAATAAATATACGCGTCGGCTTGAGAACCTCCTCCGTTTTTTTCGTCGGTTAAAGATATATAATACACAAGAGTTCCTTAGTGACACTTCCTTGAAAGAAATGGACATAATTACCTAATTAACATACATTAAAGCACAATTTATTATTATTATTTATTTTGAGTTTGACATAAACATATTTTGACATTTAATTCTAACTATGACTTGTTTGATTGTAATTATTGTAATATAATAATTGTGATTTTTATGAAATTGTAAAACCTGATTATTTCATAAAAAATATTGTATACCTTGTAATAAGGTCGAAATGTAGTGATCCTAAACTTTTTACCTAACACCAATTTACTGTACTAACCTATTTTTCACATTAAAGTATAGGGATGATGACTATTTTTTTTTCTTCGTTTATCAGGTAGATTATCAAAAAGTATGGGACACGTATTTTTTCTTTTTTCACATAATATAAACATTGCAGAGATATATTGATTTGAAAAGTCGCATGACGTGACGTTTTGGTACAACTTTCACTTAGAAGTGACGTCACGAGCCCCTACTTCCAAACTTTGACGCGCTATAACTTTGTCATTTTTTGGTTGATTGTCTAAAGAAAAAATACGTGTCCTATATTTTTTGATCATCTAACTGACGGGCTAAATCGAATTTCGTTTACTGTACCCCGTCACCATCCCTTTTAGAATTTGAATTATTCAAAATGAAGTTCATGATCCTCACTGTATGAAAGCTCTGACGTATTGCTTGATGTTGTGCGTGTTGAGATTGCCGCGCAGCCGCGAGCGGTACTCGGTGAGCATGCGCTCGCGCTCGCCGGGGCCAGCCTCGCACGAATCCGAAGATATTTGCTGTACAAGAAAATTTATATGTTAACTAGCGGCCCGCCCTCGCTTCGCTTCGGTTTAGAGCTGAAGTGTAGACTACAGTTTTTGTTTTCAGGCTTGTATTATACACAATGACATTCATCTATGATTCTTCTTATACCTACATGCCAAGTCTCAGCCCGATCGGTTTAAAATTGAGAAAGTTTCATACAAACTTTCATTCCCTATTTTATCCCCTTGGGGGAGAATTGATCAAAATCCTTTCTCAGCGGATGCCTACGTCATAATATCTATCTGCATGCCAAATTTCAGCCCGATCCGTCCAGTGGTTTGGGCTGTGCGTTGATAGATCACTATGTCAGTCAGTTTTTCTCACCTTTGAGTTTTATATATCTAGATTTTATGATAGTGTTTTTGTAATATTTTGCTAACCTGCTACCAAGTAAAATCATATGTCTTCTATAACATTAAGGAGCTCAATGGCTGAAGTGATTAGTGCGTTCGGTCTGCGATTGCGAAAGTGGAGCAATTTTCGCAATGGCCGGTATAAGAATGGGTGATCAAAGGATCAACAGAAGAATGAGTGGTTTCTCCAAGCTTCGAAAGGCTATTTTAAACTAAGTAGTATTTTAGTTCTAACTACTTCCACTCTTGAACTACTACTACGTACAAATAAATAAAAAAAAAAATCAGAAACAAAATCTAAAAGTCACAGTAGTTAGAGACAATTCACAGAACAGAAAAAATATATAAAACTAGCTGTATATTAAAAGCGACGCTATAAAAACATAAGAAGTGTTAGTATTGTTAGTAATATCTAGGCGAAATAACAAAAACTAAGAGGAATATAAACAGAAATAAAGGAAATGTGGTTACTTGTACAAGCTTGCTTATACACGAAGTTATAAAAACAAAAGCGTCAACAATCCCAGATGTACTAATTTTCGCTGAGCTCTTACAAACCTCGAGTATGTAGATTGAATATAATTTTATGGTTGGTTATTAAGTCATCATTCGCACTTTTCTAAAAAGGAAAATTTATACGTTCTTTACATTTTGGCGTAATATCATCGATTACAATTAATGCATCATTGTCGATCAAACGTTCTTCGAAATTTTGAACAATCAATGAAATGAACTGAAGACGATTTTATTGTCGACGAGGTGTCATTGATGCATTGTAATTTTGTAAGAAACCCTGTTAAAGAGTTATATCTCTTCAGATTGTCTTTAATTTTTTTATAAACTAAATATATTTTAATAAATAAATATAATTTTCCCATCAGGCTCGATCCCCAAACATTAGTAGATGTTAGCGACAACAACTAAGAAGAAGTACCTGGTAGTGGTAATGGAGGGTTTCCTCATAACTCACGTGGCCGAACTTGTGGTAGATGAGGAAGTCCTCTTCTGACTGGGAGATGTCGGCGCCCTTCCATCGAGAGAACCTGGTGCGGAACGCATCAGCGACGGAGGAAGTGGAGGCCGTGCAGTTGACGAGGATGAGCCCGAGGAGTCGCCGAGGGTGGGCGAGTCCGCACCGAGCTAAAACATTAGCTCCCGCGCCTTCGCCCAATCCAACTGCGTAGCGCACGTGCAGGAAATCCAGTACTGTGATCAGGTCTTCGCCCAAAGTTTGCAGCGACGGGAACTGATACCTGATGGCAGGAAGAACATTTGATTGATGATCAAATTTTTTATCATTCTAGAAGAAGACAAGCATATCGCACCGTCCAGTGTGCGGTAAAACAACGGTCTTTCACAGGAGGCCTTAAAATTTTGCAATTACATCCTATACAGGAGGCAGTGGATGCGGTACAAGTGATAAGGATGTACTAGAGAAGTCGCCATGGGTGGGCAAGCTCGCACCGAGCTAAAACGTTGGCTCTCCGTGCCTTCGCCCAATCCAACTGCGTAGCGCACGTGCAGGAAATCCAGTACTGTGATCAGGTCTTCGCCCAAAGTTTGCAGCGAAGGGAACTGATACCTGATGGAAGTAAGATGATTTGATTGGAGATCAAATTTTTTTTCATTGTAGAAGAAGACAAGCATATCACACCGTCCGGTGTGCGGTAAAACAACGGTCTTTTTACAGGAGGCCTTAAAATTTTGCAATTACATCCTGTACAGAAGGCAATGGATGTGGTACTGGTGATAAGGATGTACTAGAGAAGTCGCCATGGGTGGGCAAGCTCGCACCGAGCTAAAACGTTGGCTCTCCGTGCCTTCGCCCAATCCAACTGCGTAGCGCACGTGCAGGAAATCCAGTACTGTGATCAGGTCTTCGCCCAAAGTTTGCAGCGAAGGGAACTGATACCTGATGGAAGTAAGATGATTTGATTGGAGATCAAATTTTTTTTCATTGTAGAAGAAGACAAGCATATCACACCGTCCGGTGTGCGGTAAAACAACGGTCTTTCAGAGGAGGCCTTAAAATTTTGCAATTACATCCTGTACAGGAGACAGTGGATGCGGTACAGGTCATCATCATCATCAGCCTATTAATGTCCCCACTGCTGGGGCACAGGCCTTCCCTATGGATGGAATAGGGAGATTGGGCCATGACCCATCACGGGGGCCCAGTGCGGATTGGCGATTTCTAACTGCAGAACAACAGCCGGGACCAACGGCTTAACGTGCCTTCCGAAGCACGGAGGAACTCGAGATAGATGTTTTTGGTCACCCATCCAATGACCGACCACTGCGAAAGTTGCTTAACTTCAACCATCGCAGCCGAACGCGCTAACCACCTGCGCCATTGAGCTCCTCCGCGGTACAGGTGATTAAGATGAACTAGAGGAGTCGCCATGGGTGGGCAAGCTCGCACCGAGCTAAAACGTTGGCTCCTCGTGCCTTCGCCCAATCCAATTACGTAGCGTACATGCAGGAATCCAGCACTGTGATCAGGTTCAAAGTCCAAAATTTGTCCAAAGTTTCCAGCGAAGCAAATTGATATCTGATGGAGGTAAGAAAATTTGATTGATGATCAAACTCTTGCTTTAACGGACTTCTCATCGATTCGTTGCCAGTCGAAGACAAGCGTAGATCGTTAACAGGGGGGCTTAAGTTTTAGCAATTATATTCTGTAAAGGACGTGGACGTGGTACAAGTGTTGATTAAGATGAACTAAAGGAAATGCCGTTAGTGGGTGAGCTTAATATCTTTACACACTTAACATCTGTACCCCAGGCACGAATAGTTTGGCGTTGGAGATACGAATTCGAATCTGGCGAAGTTCGCGCATAGGGTGCTGGTGGCCCATCTGCTCGTCCGTCTTTGAAGGCAATAAAAAAAATAACGTGTTCCCTCCTTCCTACAACTTTAAGGGGCCTTAAAGAGAGGTGTGAAGAAGCATTTTTGCGGGCCGGCAAGGTAAGGATGGTTGGTGTGGCAGTTTATAACTGCTGTACCAGCTATCTTCGCGTTTGGACTTTATTACCACTTAACATTAGTTGGGGTATAGTTATTTGCCTACCTGGCTAAGTAAAAAAAACTTATTGTTGTTCTCAAAGACTATTACGACGCGTATCGTCTTATTGTATCGTTAATATTGTTATGTTTAAACTGCAAGCTAGATTTATAAATGAAACAATCATAATGCAAATGAACTGAATACAAAATCTAAATAAATCATTCAATCATTTGTTGTGTCTTGTCTGATACTAGGTATCAGACAAGACTCGAACTTGCGCCGTTCAATATCAGCCCAGATACGGATCGAGAGAAGATTTTTCTATTATTGTTGTATTTTTTTTTGTATTGTTTTCATAAAATGAATGAAAGTGAAAGTTCAACAAAATTTTATGTGAATTGATGGCACAAATAAAGAATGTGTTCAGCAATCTAGTAGAATTTTTAAATAAACTGTTTTTCATTCTAATATTTCAGCTAAAAAAAGTATAAAATAAATAAATAAATATTTCCGACACTCACACCAATTAGCCTAGCCCCAAAGTAAGCACTGTAAGGCTTATGTTATGGGATGCTAGGGTAACGGATAGAATACATATACTGTGTATTTAGAATTACATATTAAACATCCATGACTGGAGTACAAATGCTCGTATTCATCACACAAACATCTGCCCCCACCGGGATTCGAACCTGGGACCTCTCGAGTCGGCGCACCCATGAAACCCGGCGTACAAACCACTCGGCCACGGAGGTCGTCAAATGATCAGTGATCGTCAATATGAACCTAATTAGCCTGATGAGCTCGCTTAGCCGTAATAAAATTCCATAATGATTACTACGCCTGGTTATAGATTTCTGAACGAGATTTCCAAATATAACAATAAAAAAGGAACAAAAACCATAAGCGAGATAGGTACGTCACAACTGTTATTTCCTTTTATGTTTGGTTAAAAATGAACGAACACGCGATAAAGTTGTTTGTCTTTGGTATTCTAGTCTACTGATGACGTGATCAGCGTTAATTAACAGCTGTATGCATTCCAAAGGAAGCTGCCAATTGAGTTCGTAGCGTAAGTCGAAACTTCTCAAACGTCTTATATGAAATACTTAGGTAAAATACTTGTAGCTTAAAATTGGAAATCAATAGTAATAGTTATTTATGAAATTAGTGCCGTAAGTTGGTTATTACAAACGAGTAGACGAATGTATACCATAGTAACGAGTTTGTAATACTAATCCGTACGTATGTCATAAAACGTTTTCAACACATTTTCGAGAAAACTTAAGTAATGAAACAATTTTTTTTAATAAGAAATGGCGCGCCATTCCAAATTTGCACCACGTGCGAGTGGTGAAAATTAGAACTACATCATTTGTTTATTTTTCGTAATATAGAAGCTTTGGAAATGTCGAGTTCAGTCCTTACGCGTTCCGTACAATAAGACGCCTTCTTCTCAGGGTAGATGCGATAATATTAAAGTGAGACATAGGTATAGACTAAAAGCGTTTCCGAGAAGGTTCGAAAATTTATGAAAACCGTAAAGAATACGCACGGTGCCATGTACGGGAGCGTGCGTAATAAATTTTACCACATGTCCCCTGTATGGCTCGTAATTTTGAATTTTCGAACAATGTATACAACCTTCGTAATTGCATGTTATGAGCAAATGCATTGAATAAGAACTTTTTCTGTTCGATCATTTTAAAGAGGAAATAATGATGCTAAGATGAACGTGTGATATAAAAGACTAGATAAATCGTATGATTTATAACATAGAGATGGAAAATAACCCCTTAAAGGATTTTTTTATAAATGTAAAGATTTATGAAAAGAAAATATTTTTTTCTCAATTCAATTAAAAGCTCATTCATAATGTAACAGCAATTTTGTAAAATGATCAATCACTTTAAAACAATTGATTGTTTATGATAAATATGCATCAGGTTTGGTCAACAATCTTTTTAGTTCCTAAAACTTTTGGGGTTCGTTTCATATTTGAACGAACGAAAGATTATAAGTATTCATTTATTTATTCACTTGTGGGTTTACTTTTATAAAAACTTTAGAAAGTTAAAAAACTACGCCAACGGTTTGCAAATCTACGGCGGGAGATTCCGTTCTGAGAACCGATAGGAAACTAAGCAAAGACTGGTTTTTATCTCCCTGTTTTATTACAGTGTTCGAATGAGGTCTATATTTTGAACTTACGAGTCGGGCAAGTCAGGTGAATTCTCTTCATGGCCCGGAACATCTACGTGGATGAAGCAAGAGCGCTCCTTGATCTCTGACATCGCGGGACATGTCACGAAATCTACCAGGGATGAATCTGAAAAAATACAAACACTTTTTTTCCTATCAACTCACAACTTGTTTGTCACTACATAGTGACAAGCTCCTTATATAGACGTCTATATAAGGAGCTCGAGTACCTACTAATGGGAGATTGGTTAGGTTAGGTTAGAAATCTACTAGGGCTGAATCTGGAAAAATACAAACACTCTTTTTTTCCTGTCAAACTCACAACTTTGTTTGTCATTATGTCTATAGAGTAGACCCGCGGTAATCCGGACCTAGTCTAATCCAGCGCCCCCTGCAATCCGACACGCTTGTCACTGTTGATTTGCACATAAAATCAATTAAAATAGATTTTTAGATTTGTAATTTGTCGGATTAGAAGGTACTCTTATTCCAAAAATTACTACGGGTACTAAAGTGGAGATCGGTTAGCTTCACAGAAAGAGTTGCTCGACTTATTTAATTGTTTACCAATTTAACTTTAAAGATTCTAAATACACACATCAAAAGTGTCTAGGGATCAACATATATTTTTGCAATAACTTTTCTCCTGATTGATATTAATTAAAATTTTCTTTAAGGATTCATCAAATAAAGTGTTTTCGTTTGTCACAGTAACGATAAACCAAGTCACCTTTGCATTAATAAAGAAATTTGCCATTTTCCTAATAAAGGGATTTTTGACATTTGAACCACTAACACAAAAGTTCGAAAAAAAGACTGAAATAACAGTTTTCTCTAAAATTTTATTGGGTAACTTAAACAATTAATAATCCGTATTTCTACCGCGAACACTAACAACACAAGAACATCGGTTTGGCATACTCAAAATGAGTTCATCCAAATCACGCTGTGGAATGGCCGCCCATGTTCGTTGCAACAACAAAAAAAGGTCTTCTTGCGACTGGATACCCTCCATATTCGGCAGAGCTCTTCTCTGTAGCATATCCCATGCATGCTCAATCGGGTTCAAGTCTGGCGACTGAGCAGGCCAGGGCAGGACATTGATGTTAGCTGCGGCGAGAGTCTGTCTTACAACTCTTGCGGTGTGCGGTCGTGCATTATCATGCATTAACTGAAATAAGGGACCGATTTGCACTTGTAGAGGAACGATGACGTCTGATACAATCGTCTCAGCATAAATTTGAGCGTTGAGGTTGCCTCTGATCCAAATCAACTCAGTTCTTCCGCCGATCCAAATACCCGCCCATACCATGATGGTTCCACCACTATAAGGATGGACTTCCTGGCAGGATTTTAATCGCTGTTGGCGTCCAGGGGTTCTCCAGTGTCGTATACGTCTTGTATCCGGTCTCATACCAAAACGAGACTCATCAGAAAAGCACACGAAACGCCATTGTTCTTCTGCCCAATTTCTGTGTTCAAGAGCCCATTGATATCGAATCCTACGATTGTGCATTGCTATAGGTGGTACCCGTAGCGGTCTTCGGGAATGAAGGTTCACTTCATGCAAGCGGTTTCTGACTGTTTGGTCGCTAATTAAGTTCCCTGAAGAGTGATGAAGCCTCACGGCTAACATCATGGCGGTTATTTTTGGAGCTCTTCGAGTTAAGATTTGAATGTATCGGTCTTGTCTCCGTGTGGTGCAGCGATACCGTCCTCCATGGCGCTCAGCCACGGTACCAGTGCTTCGGTATCGTGTCCAAAGTCGACTGATAACACTCTGACTTGTATTCAGAGCTAAAGCCACAGTACGTTGCCGGGAACCAGCTTCTATCATTCCCACGGCTCTGAGCATTTCTTCCCTGCTTAAATGACGTCGCCGCTCCATAATAACGTTGGTTTTAATCAGTAGTAGGGAAACAGTAGCACTAATAATGTCTTCAATGCGTTGTATGTTTTTATAGGGAAAATATTGACAGCTGATTTTCATCTTTTACTCGAATTTGATTCACAGTTCCTGATTCAAATTATGAAATGCACCAAAAAGGATCCATATAAATTTATAAAATCATAAATTTATTACAAAGCCACATCTCAATCTCAAGAAATCCGCATAAAAATGCTTGATCCCTAGACACTTTTGATGTGTGTAACTCTTCCAATTAAAAAAAAAATCTTTTACTGAAGTGAAACTCCTTTTTTGGACGGGGAAAAATGTAAATGGAAAAATTCTATGGAAAAGATGAATTCTATGGAAAGACTATATATATAGTCGTGTGACGCTCGTGACGAATTTCCGTATATGTATATATATATATGCCTTATGCACCGCCTAATGTTAGATTATTTAAGAAGGAAGTTTCACTTCAGATGTGTGATCCGTGCACAAAAAAATGCCAATAAAAAAATATCTGGTAATTTAATTTTATATATTTTTTGTATTCTAGTAAGCAAGCTATAGCAGTCAACATCTAAGTGTGAGTTGCACCAACTTACTTTAACTGTAACTGTTCAGTTAAAGTACAGTACCCCTAGCACGAACCAATATAGAATTCGTATCGTTTGCGAGTCCGAAATGTCATTGTCAAATGTGTACTGATTTTTAGTTCTCGTTACGTACTTTGTGCCGCTGCTGTTCAAGTTTCCATACAATATTTGACATTGACATTTCGGTTTGCAAACTATTCGAATACGTGATAGGGGTACAGGTCTCGCTTGGACAGTTAATTGTCACTGTCAAATTTCGACCTTATTTTGACTGAACTTGAAATGGTACAACCCATTTTTTTATCGAACCGGTACAGGTAATAAGTTGGAGCAACTTAACTATGTATGTAACAGCATTTGCGATGTATTCAGTAGTACTTACGGTTTGTTCCAAGGTCGTGTACTGTCAGAAAGACGCATCGCTTGTCCTGCTGACTGAGGTCGCCCTGTAACCGTAAGGTTTCATCTCATTAATGATATTTGGACGGATTCGTGTATTCACTGACCGTGATAAAACTCCTTATAAACATTTTAGAACACGCATGCTATTGACAAATAGAGCAATGATAAACTAAAGCCCACTTTAATAGTACAGTCATTTGGTGAGAAATATAGTGGTTACCCGGAAATATTTTCGGGAGTTTTGAAAATTGGTAATTTTATTAATTTTGATGTGCTCTTTCCGAATTTCGACTTTGCCACCTCGTATTTTTGCCGCTCGCGCCGCTATATTGGAAAAATGGCGCCTAAAAGCAGTTTTTTGACAATATCTCCTTTCCGACTCATTTTACGATAAAAATAGTTATATACAAAATGAAACTAGAGACAATTACCTACAATTTATGTATTCACTTTTTTTCATAAAGTCAATAGTTTAGGCGTACAAGCGCCGCAAAGCGTAGTCCAACACGCATTTGGCCAAAAATACTCATTTCCACACCACCTTGGGATATAGTAAGTGGCGCGTTTTTTTTTTAACTTGGTATACCCAATAGGCCTAATCCACATGTAATTCAATGTGTTAAAATGTAGCGTATTCTCCTTCGCTTTGTTGTTCTCGATAGACCAGGTTTTTTTTATAGATAGGTCCGACAAATGACACCACCCCACCTGATGTTAAGTGAAGGTGAAGTCCAGATGCGAAGATAGCTGATACGACAGTTCTAACTGCCACACCAGCCATCCTCACCCTGCCGGCCTGCAAGTTGCTTCTTCACGCCTCTTGTAAAGGATCCCAGGATGTAAGGTGTTGCAAATTCATCGTCTGTAGTACCAATCGAAACGACACAGACCGGTATTTCATCTACATCATCGGTCTATTATAGTATAATATAATATCAATAGTCAGTATAGTTTAGATTTACATTAATTTTTAACTCACAAATATAATGAGTTGAAAGTAAATGCCACAGGTTGCATGAATAATGAGTAATGACCAATGCGTGCATTCAAAACTATTGACTTTATGAAAAAAAAATAGGTAAATACATATAAATTGCATTTATCTAGTTATGTATCTACCTTTTTTATTATAATTGTAGTTATATATTAAAGTCTGAAAGGAGATATTGTCAAAAAACTGCTTTTAGGCGCCATTTTTTAAATATGGCGGCGCGAGCGGCAAAAATACAAGGTGGCAAAGTCGAAATTCGGAAAGAGAACCTCAAAATGTATAAAATTACCAATTTTCAAAACTCCCGGAAAACATTCCAGGTAAAACTACCAAATGACTGTATTATAAGGAGATGAAATAATTCGAGCGCCGCGGAATTATTTCATCTCGCTTAAGATAAGGACACGTATGCTGAGCTGACTGCCAACCTTCGCTGTTCGGCTGTAAGGCACAAGAAGAAGAAGAAAGCCCCCTTGTACCTAAGTTATAAATTCAAATTAAGGCTTAATCGCGTTAAACACATCACTCCAATTTTAACAATTGTTTAAAGGCAAATAAAGATAGAATAACGCTTAAACATGATTAGCTCTTTAATTTGAATTTAGGACTTCGGTGCAAATGGGCCTAACGAAATAAATAGGTATCGTCAATCTTTTTAACCTTTTCTTCAATTAAGGTTTTATTCTAGTGTTTATGTAAACCATTGCGGTCCTATTCGCAATATTTCTCAGTTTAGTACGCTAGTTTTGCATATATCATTTTTTTCTATAATCTATGATGCATCTAAAGGAACCTAACGGTGTCAATATTGTTTTCTGGGGCTCGTCCAGTGCTTCTGACTACAATGTGGATGACTCGCATCTTAGAAATGTAATTGCTGTTTGGTGGATACAATTGACATTGGAATATTCCTTGAGTAGCAGCAATGCGATTTTCCCATAAAGTAAAGTAACAGCTACATACGTTTTCTTGACTTTAGTGTACCCCTAGCACTTAAATCTTTGTCTATGTGTTCCACACATTTGAAATGAATTGATTTTGTTAGTTCCGTACAATCTGTACCCGTCGCATGAACCAATATCGAATTCGAATAGTTTGCGAGTGCGAAATGATAATGTTAAATTTTGTATGGCAACTCGAACAGCAGCGCCAAAATGGACGTAACGATAACTAAAAATCAGTACGCATTTAAATTCGATATTGGTTCGTGTGAAGGGTACAGATTGTACGGAACTAACAAAATCTATTCATTTCAAATGTGTGGAACACACAGACAAAGATTTATGTATCTTTTTATTGGTTTAAACACATGCATCATCTGATGCTTAAACTTGTATGAAAACCGAGCGTCATATTTTGATAACACATTAGGTGGCGGAAAAGCATAGACCCCGGCCATCCGTTTCAATTCTATCGTCTTTACAGCTTAATTTGGCACAGTAAGACAATTCTAAAAATTACGATTGGTTTTCAGTTCCGGAAACGAGGACTCTATGAAATATAATAACGTCAAAGGAGGACCATTGATCACCGCTCTGTGCGTACACTTGCGGTATTATTTCGATCTATGGCTGTAAAACCTTTCTGCGGACGCCTTTTATAATAGACAATACCCACAATACGTACTTATATCTTAAAGATATTCCAATATATCTTTTTTATTTTAGATTTTTTCTGCAGATAGGTATATATAGGCTATATTGTAAGCTATTTTCGCCCGACTGGAATACTTTCTGAACCCGACCTACTACAAGTGAATTATTATTATTATAGATTGTTGGGGCTATGCAGTCCTAATGGGACTGTTTTCACTGCAACCTATAGGATCTATTGTGACTCGCCACCGAGTTAAAGTATCTCTTTTAGCCCGACAGCTTCCAAGAAGCTCAAAATATTTCGAGCTTTTAGAGATTTGATAACCTCTGGGCGTATTATATGTCGTCCCAATTGAATACTACGTATGACCCACATTCACATAGAAGGTGTTTTGGTGTTTCACGCCCCTGATTGCAGTATCTGCAAACATCAGTGTCACTCAATTTCATATGAAATTGCTACAAGAATAGCTTTCAGGTAAAATATTTTACGTTAGAGGGTTGACGTAATTAAAAAACAATACAGAAAAGCTCTTCAGAACGAAATTTCATCAAGACGTTTGACAAGATTGTTTATTTCCTATAATTAGAAAAAGTATTAGTTTCGTACTAATGAATATTTTCGTGAAAACTTCTTTAGTAGCTAGAATGTGAAAACTTCTTTAGCGGCGTTGTACTCTTTTTTTTGTATCGGTAAAAAATATTAAACTCGCGTCAGGTTAAACACGTGGGCTGATCGCATCATGACACAATAAAATTGGAAAGGTTGTTGACTTTCAATATATTGGACGAAACATAGTAATATTTTATTTTACCGTATTATAATAATAAGTCTCTATCTAGGACGTCCACGTGGCAGCTTTATTGCGAAGAAAATGCATTTTTTTACAAAAGATGTCGCTCGGTGCGCTTAAATGTGATTCACGTAAGTTGATTTCTTTACAATAGATGTCGCTAAGTGCGCTTAAACGTGATTCATGTAAGTTGAGAGATAAACTTTTTTAATGTAATATAAATTGTCATGTTTGTGCAATAAATAAATATTGTATTCTACCACATACATGGTAGTACTTTTATACTGATAATTAAAGCAATTCGTGCAAAATTATTCCCTAACCATTCCAAAATATCAAAAAAGCACAACGTTAATATTCAAGTTTTCACTTCTGCCGGCACTCCCGGAGTGCAACCCGTCGTTTTTTTTTATCTGTGGGACAAAGTTCCAGCTTTAATTGGTATTCGATATGCATCGACCCAAGTAAATGTTACTAAACTTAATATAGTACCTCAATACGAAAAACATCGGTTCATTCTAAATTTAGTAGTACTTTTCTTCGTATTTTTCATGCAAATCCCATAATTAATGTTGGGCTTAAGGTTTAAGCTATCAATTGCCGTTAAGACAGCAACACAATTACGATCCTCTCTCTGATAAATGACCCGCGATTACTTAAATTTATTAGCAGGTTTCGTTAAAAAAACGTGTTAGTAGCATGTATAATGTAGTTGTTTATCATTACTAGATTTAAAATATATTTTAATACTAGCTGACCCAGCGAACTTAGTACCGCCATAAAAAAATAGGGGTTAGTGGTAGAAAGTGGAAAATTTAGGGATGTGTGTATTTTTGTATGATTTATCATATTTTTTTTTTTTATCTAAAATTGAAAAATCTTTGGGGTGGATTACCCTTAACATTTAGGGGGATAAAAAATAGATTACATCCGATTCTCAGTCCTACTGAATATGGATATAAAATTTCACGAAAATCGGTCGAGCCGTTTCGGAGGAGTTTAACCACAAACACCGCGACACGCGAATTTTATATATTAGATTGATTGGCGCTTTTTGTTAAAGCTATATATGTCAAATTGAAATTGGAAATACAGTTTTCAATTTGCGTTTTTTTTATTATTTATTTATTAACTAATTAAGTACACACACAATAAATCAGATAAGTAGAACAAGAACAAGAAATTTGTACAAGGGTACTGCTTATTTCATATTGAAATTTCTTTCAGCAGGCCCGCGAAACAAAAGAACATAAAAAAGCCGTCAGTGTATGTCTCCTTAATATAAATAACGAAATACAATACTTACATAAACAAAACCTACATATATATCTATATAGATATACAAATAAACATATATACTTAAATAAAATATTAATATTAGCGTTTATTACTGTGGATAACTTAATTAATGTTTTTAAATAAATTGAGTTTGTACATACACATTGCATTCAGAAGAAGTTGCGAGCGGACGCACAGACGTTGGCGGCTCTGACGTAAAACGAGGAAGTTATACAGAACACAAGAGATAGAATAACATTATGATTTTTGAAGTTCATTCATAAGTTTTTTGTTTTAATATTAAAACTAGCGTGTTGCCCGCCTGATGGTAAGCCCACCATGGCATGTAATAGACGCTTGCGATATCATAAATATCACTCATACAT